GTTGTTGCCCAGTCAATAAAGGTGCTTGCAGAGGCTAAGTGTTCGTGTGCTACACTCCACGGGACGGAAGCGGCGCCGGACAGCTGGTGGCCCGTACAGGGACTCGAAACCTCTCCCGTGCCTTCTGCGGCTCCTTGTGACTGCGTTGAGTGACGGTACGTACCTGCGGGTGAGCGGAGGCTCAACCCGGCCCTTGGTGGACTCACTTTAAGGGACCTACTGGTCGACCCCTTGAGGGGATCGACATTGTCCGAAAAAGAAGGGCAGGCCTCTGCTGGCTATAGCGCCTTGGGGCTTTCTATATTTGCTGAAATGGGCCATGTTAATTGTGGCCCCCTCGCCCTATCATTGCGGATGTTGCTTGGGGCACGAGGGATTAGGATAGATAAGCAAATGGTGCTGCAGTTTTAAAGGGCTGAATGGAGAGCTTAGAGGAAGAGCACGAGAGAGTGGAGAATGATATACAGGAAGTACATACCCCAAGCGGGACGAGACCAACCCCGTCTGCCCCTCCCTGGGAGCCACCCCAGGAAATGAGCGCACCTGGAGACTGGGGGCCGCCCCCTCCCTTCCCTGCCACACTTCCCTCCTCCGGACGCCGCTCATTTCATGGTCGCTTGTGGTACGTCCTGCGTAGGGGCCTTGCCTCATATGCCGTTTTTGATAAGGAGGGCAATTCTCTGACTGGCCGTAAAGACTCACAGCCAAAAAAAATGGCCAGAGGGGCCCTCCTACAAGGCGGGCCCCCTTTCCCCCAGCAGCCCCTTTCCGGGAGTAAACAGCTAGTCAGGGCTACCCCAGGGTCAGCAGGAACACCTGAAATGGGAGTCCAATTGATAGAAACTTCATTTAAGGGGCCATTGCCACCGAATACTGTTGGCCTGCTTTTAGGGCGCTCTTCAGTGGCCCTTCGTGGCCTTACAGTTGTGCCAGGTGTCATCGATTCTGATTATATGGGCAAGGTTAAGATTATGGCTCAGTCATTACAAGGAACACTGATTATAAACAAAGGGGATAGGATAGCCCAGTTACTTATTCTGCCCAGCTTGCATGGTCAATATCCAGCTAAGCAACAGTCTCGGGGTGCCCAGGGTTTCGGGTCCACGGGCAAAAATTTTATTGGCCTCCATATGACCTTGCAGGAACGGCCTATGTTGCTCCTCTCGGTCAATGGTAAGAAAATTAAAGGGTTATTAGATACCGGCGCTGACCGTTCCATCATCTCTCATAAAGATTGGCCGGCCTCCTGGCCCCTCAATGTGGCAGAACAGACCCTTCAGGGATTGGGATTTGTGCATTCACCCAGTATGAGTGCGCAGTCCCTTCCCTGGCAGGATGAGGAGGGACATGGTGGGTCTTTTCAACCCTATGTCCTTAACCTCCCAGTAACCCTTTGGGGCAGAGATATTCTAGTCCAAATGGACATCACCCTACATACGGGATGTTCTGAGGTGTCTCAAAACATGATGAAATGGATGGGCTATACCCCTGGCAAAGGCTTGGGCATCAAATTGCAAGGAAATACCTCTCCTGTGCCCGCCGTCACTAAAAGGCACAGGAAAGGACTGGGTTTTTCTTAGGGGCCGCTGTAATGCCTCTCGCGCCCACCCCTGTAAAACTGACATGGAAATCGGATACCCCGGTTTGGGTGACGCAGTGGCCCCTACCAATAGAAAAGATCTTTGGATTCCCGTGCAAGCCCAGGGCTGGGTTGGATCGGTCTCACAGCAGATCTCGCTCTCTTCCTTACCAACCAGAACTAAAAGAGGGACAAAAGATTGGTTGTGGCAGGCAGCGGGGGTGGTCTCTTCTTTGTTTGTCCCTGCAGTGGGACAGGCTGTTTTGCAGGCATGGACCTCCGAGCAGCTCGCGCTGACCATGGATGCAGTCAATCGGCTGAGCAACGCCACACGAGAGACCATCAAGGCTCAAAGGCAACAGATTGAGCTTAACAGCCAGGCTATACTTAGGCTACAAGAAGAGATCCAGCTCATCGGACAGGAGATTGATGCGTTGTGGCAGGTCGCCACTCAACTCTGTGATCAGAGGTGGCTGCCTTTCTGGGTCTGCGTCACCCCTGTTCGCACCAACCTGACTGAAACTACAAAGACCATGACTAAATGGCTGCAGGACACTTATTTGCCAAAATTTCACAACCTGTCCCTAATTGTTAACCAAGGACTGGATGAGATGGACAAAATTCAATTGCACCCGGTCAGATTTGACCTGTCCACCCTAGGGGATGTCCTCTTGGGTTTGTGGAATCATGTCACCTCTTGGTTCTCCTGGCCCAATTTGACTACCTGGATTTTTATTGCTGTTGCTATCCTGGTTGGATTAGTGGTTGTTAAATGCTTGCTTGATCGTTTGATGCAGACTCAACAACAAGTCAGATTTACAGCCATGGCGGCTATGCAGCAGGCGGAGGCTGGCCCATCTAGTGGTCGGGCGGCTACATATCTCCTTCATGTTGCAGAGCATCAGTTATAAGGATGCTGAATGGGCGAGCCGAAGACGGGTAAGATCAAGGTACCCCACCTTGCTCAACCTAAGACAGGCCCCGTTCCATTAAGACAGCGAGAGGTACCAAGGTGCGAGACCAAATGGTACTGCATGACATTCTACTCTTGGGGTTTTTGAAGAGAGATGTCAGGCTATATGTCTGTATGCATCTAGGTTTCATCCGAATTACCCTAGCTCTGCGCAAAAGGATGAGGCTTGGAGGTCCCTTCCGACGCGGGGGTGGCCAACCTGTGCCGGGGGATGACCTCAGAGCCATGCACAGCGGGGTACAGACCTCTGTAGTCACATGGAAAGTCTCGCTGTCCTTCCTTGTAAATAAGAAAGGGGGAGATGTTGGGAGCCAGCCATGTTATTCATGAGAGCATATTCATAAGATGGCACCCGCCTACCGCCTCGCTGCTCCCCCGCCCATCGTGTGCCCAAGATGGCACACACATCCTGCTTCCTGGTTCTTGCTCGCCTTACTGTCCCCGCCATATATGGTAATGATTGATTGCTTCCTTGTTGCCGCCCAATCGCCTGTCCCCACGTGTAATCCCATGATTGGATAACATTAGCTATATAAGCCCAAGTATAGGAAGTGCCCGATGCACAACACGGAAGAAGCCGTCGAGGACGGACATGTATTGAGGTTGCTGCCCAGTCAATAAAGGCACAACATGGAAGAAGCCGTCACGGACGGACGTGTATTGAGGTTGTTGCCCAGTCAATAAAGGTGCTTGCAGAGGCTAAGTGTTCGTGTGCTATATTCCGCGGGATGGAAGCGGCGCCGGACAACTACAGATAAATGAAACCAGGAAAAAAAAAAAAAGGCAACATTTCCAAGGGAGGGAGGCAGACGTGCAGTTGAAGTCCTGCAAGGTGAGGTTGTCTAAATTGTCCTGCAGTCCGATGATCAGCCACTAGAGGGGAGAGAGAGGGAGAGTCAGGTCAGGCTGGCCAGTTTCTGCCTGTCCAGCTCTGTTCACCCATCCACCCAGAGCTCCACTCCTGCTCCTTTCAATGGTTGCTGCTGTGGAAACAGTTGTGGCCCTAGAGGTGGCAGGAGAGCAACAGGAAAGAAAATTCCTGGGAGACCGCCCTTCTTGGTGCCTTTCCCAAGGCACAGCAGCCCACTTCCTGCCAGAGAAGGCCCAGGCACTGACCCCACAGCAAGACCCCGTCCCAACCCTTGTCCAGCCCCATCGGTGGTCCCATCCTCTTCCTTTGCTCCTGGCCAGCAGCAGCCTCTGGAAATTCCTCCTGGTGGCACCACCATGACTTTTGCTGCACTCCCACCACCACCCACAGTCACTAACCCCAGCCTCCTACTCACCTCTGGAAAGGGATCCCTCTTAGTGGACTCTAAATTGGGTCTAAAGTCTGCACACTTGCAGGATGATGTCTGAGTCTGGAAGGTTCAGGAGTGCATAGTCCACGAGCTGCTTGAGGTTGTCCATGTCTGGGTGCTGGCAAAAGTCTTCTGGGTACTGGAGAAGCCAGGTCTCCAGGATGGACCTCAGAGCACTAGGAGTAGGAGGGCAGGAGAGTCAGGGGACTGGTCTCTCTCCTGCCCTAGGCCCCTGTCATGGAGCCTGATGGGAGCACTGCTCGCCAGAGCCCACCCTGCCAGCCAGAAGCTGGGCATAGAGGGCAGAGGTGTAGAGAACATGTGTGAGTCTTCTGTGCCCCACACCTCCTGGGCAGCCTCCATCCTGCATGCCGAGGGTTCTCTGGGTTGAGAATGGGCTGCATGAAGGTGTATCCTCACAGGGACCTGCTCTGCACACAGATGCATCCTCATGAAGACCTGCTCTGTGCCCAGACCAAACACGGGGGCCTCCTTCATGCACAAAACCCTAAGCATAACTGTCTGTTTTTCTCCACCTGGAGGCCCAGCCTCAGATCCAAGCCCTCTGATGGGAATCAGTGAACATTGAGGGACCCCGGTTTTTCTCAGCCCGCCCACACCCCAGTTCCTCTGCACCCCACTTTGGAGACAGGATTCTTCCATCCCTCTTAGGCCAATGGCCTCTCACCTCTTGTTCTGCTGGTCCTGCTCAGAGCCTGGGAGGAAGAAGTTGTACCTAGAAGAGCCAGGAGGGTGTGACCTTTGAGCACTCATTGTCCTGGCCTCCCAGGAGGTCTAGGGGAGCATAAGACTGTGTGATGGCAAAAGAGGCTGGGAAGCCAGAGAGGTCCCTCTGTGCTGCTCCCCGAACGACAGAGAAGCCTCAGGAAAGGTGCCCATACACAGTAGGTGCTGTGTAGACATCTGTGCTGTGGGTGAGCCTAGCCAGTTGTGCCCACATATCAAGAGGGCACCTGGGTCCTGGGACTCCCTTAAAGGTCCCCGCTCTGTGTTCCTCTAGGCAGGAACAAAGGAAAATGGAAGTTCCATCTAAACAGTTCCTTCAAGGGGTGGATTGGGGAAACCCTACAGCTCCAGGACCCCATCTCCTACCCAGAGCCCGACCTAGGTTTACTGTTCTGGGGTCCTGCCTATTTGGTCTTGGATGCGCCTTATGAACAGGAGTCCTCTGAGTAAAGCATTTTTCTCAGGAATATTAGGGTGCAAAACGTTTCAGGGGGTTCATCCCCAAGAGCTCCCAAGGTTCCCCGGGCCCCCTGACTTGGAGGTGGGGCACACCTGAGGAACAGCAGATCCAGCACCTGCCGCGTGGTGGCGAACCTCCTGTAGATGGCCAGGAAGGCAGGCACGAAGAAGGGGTCCCCGCGCTGATGGGCAAGCACCAGGTTGAACACCAGCTTCTTCAGCATGTCTGGCTCCATGCTCCCCACCTTGCCAGCATCCTCCAGCTTTGGGCTGGACTTCCTTGGGTCCTGAGGTGGCAGTGCGAAGGGAGAGTTCAAGCTTGGATACCCTAGCAGCTCTAAAGAGCTCAGCCCCCAGGCTATCAGCTGCCAAACGCGTCCCCTGGTTTCACACTCACTCTCGCATGCTGCCCCACACACCACAGGGGCAGGCAGGGTTCTGGGCTCTCCCGGCTGACTCTGACCTGTTGGGGGCTCACCTGTGTCATCTTGGGGGTTCTTGGGTCAGTGTGCTCCAGGCTCTGGGCCTGACGACTGCCTGAGCCTCTCAGCCTTTGAATAACACCCTCTCTCCACCAACTCTTGTGGCCTGAGCCTTCGCGTTTTGGGAAACAGCAAGAAAACATCCTCCTGGTTGTTGAGTCTCTCTACCAGTAAATGTAGCCAACCAGCCTTGAGAGTTCTAGGTTCTGTTAGGCAAGCGTTGTCAAGGAAGTGAGGTCACTTCCTCATGTTCCCCTCCCCTACCTGCCTCTCCCATGTCCCCTCAAATGCTGGATGACCCTTCCCAACCTGCTAGGGTTTGAGTCTATTTTAGATCCGGCTTCAGGTTAGGGCAAGATTTAGGGTTGAGGTTGTCCTTGGGATTTGTGTATAATTTCAATCAGTGTTGGTGTTGAGATTGGGGTTAGTGTTAAGTGTTGGGATTAGGAGTAAATTTTAGGGTAAGAGATTGCAAATGTGTTTGAGGTTTAGGTTTAGCATGAGTGTGAGTGGTAGGTCTAGGGATTAAAGGGAGCATAAGGGTTATGATGAGGACTAAGGTTAGGATGAGGTTTAGATTGTATTTCGGATTTAGGGTAAGGATTTAGAGTTAGATTCAGGGTTAATTGTAAGGTTAGTTTAATAATTAGTTTAGTGGTTTTCTTTCCCCATATGCTTAGAGTTAATATTACAGTTGGGTTTGTTAGAGTTAGTGTTAGTTTAGGTTTCAGGTTAAGTTAAGAATAATGATGAGGTTTAGCTTTATGCTTTAGGGACAAAGTCAAACTTTAGCTTTAGATTTAAGTTTAGGATTAGATTTATTGGTCAGTATAAGTGTCAAGATTAGCATATCAGGTAATTCTAGCTATCATAGTGAATTTGACAGTGTCCTGTCTTTCCAATTAAAAAATAACTTGGAAAAAGTTTGACATTGGATCTTGTAGAAGTCTACATGGATGCACCACCTTGAGCACCGAACAGTCACAACATTAGTTAAATCAAGTCTTATTTCCACATACAGCTATGTACAGAGCTGGCAATGGTATTGCCTTCGTTCTTCAATTGCCTTTCAGCAGTGCAAATAAGGACAGCTGAACTGATGTGTAATCTTTGAAGTCTGTCTCACAGTGTCCTGCTCTCTCACATAGTGCTCTCTATAAAAGATCTGAGCACTACAGGATGGCAGAGCCACTCAGTTCCAGGAATGTCAATTGGGTGCTAGCCTCAAAGTAAGAGACTATGGGTCCCGGGGGTATAAATGTTTATGTATCAGAAACTGAACCACCAGCCTCCTTAATTCATTCATATGCTATCCCCATTAAGTTATTCAGACTGATCTTTCTGCCTATCATCTTGCATATTGCAAAGGTGTTTTTTTAATCTACCATTCCTCATAAGATAATACATTCTGGGAGAGGCCTTGAATCAAGGCCTTTCCAAATCCTCACTTGAGTTGGATTTAGGACCCTTTGACTGCCCTTATCTTTGCATATGTGTTGGTGTCATCACTCTTGCTGTGGTTTGCATTGGAAGTGGTTGATTGAACTAACTTGCCAGGATGCCAGTGTCTGAATAGGATTACAAATATAACTTTTTAGATTGAGAGGAAGCCTGGGAAAAGGATTACAATACTTGGATTACAATATTTGATATTGGGATTACATTAGGTTCTTACATGATTTACTGGTAAAATCCTTATTTAATCTCATTTTTATTGATATTCATTTTAAGATTTCTAATTTCCTTCTTTTACTAGTGTTGAATTAGGAGGGTGCTTGTGTTCAGGGCCTTAAATTGTATGTTATCTATTTGGTTTATCTGTTTATTCAGTGTGAACCTTAACAGTTATGAAATTCTCTTTTTCAGTGGTATTCCTTGTGTCCCTTAAGCTTGGAATGTTGTGTTCCCATTGTCATTTGATTGTGGGAATTTTCAAGTTTTTTCCTTGACATTTTCTTGGACTACTTGATTATTCAAGAGTGCATCATTTAATCTTCATATATTGCTTCATATTTGTGGTTAACTGTGTTGTTAAATTCTGCTTTTATACAAGTGTGATCCATTAACATGCAGGGTGTTTTTTTCAGTTTATTTGTGTTGATTTCACTGTGTTTTATGGTCAAAGATGTTTATACCAGAAACTTTCATGCACTTCTGAGAAAAATGTGTATTATACCTTTTGGTAAAACACTGTAGATATGTGTTAAGTCCTTGTGTTTCACGGCACCAGGGTGAGTTGGCATTTTGTTGGGAGCTATTGAAACTGAAAACTGAACACACCTGCAGGGCTGCCACATGGCCTGCTCAATCTGAGATTTAGAAAGGATTTAGAAAAGATCATGAATGGAGAGACATTAATCTGTTCTTCAGCATAGAGATCGCATGGCAAATCATTTCTTTAAATTCCCACCACCTTTCCATATTGGTGTATAAGAATCAAATTTCAACATGAGTTTTGATGGCGACAAATCACATCCAAAAAACATTTGTGTTCATAAGAGATATTGATCCGTGTTTGTTTTCTTTGTCATGACACTCCTGTCCTAATAGCATAAGAGTACTACTGTTCTCATGGAATACACTAAGAAATGGTTCCTCTCTTTCCTATTCTGGGGAGATTGTGTAAAACACTGATTTTAATCCTTCTTTACATGTTTAATGAAAATTTCCAGTGCATTCTTCAGGACAAGTTTCTGACTATTAACGCAGTTTCTATTAATGTAGATCTACTCAGACTTTGTGGTTCTTCTTGAGTGAGTTTTGGTAGTTTGCATTTTTCCAAGAATCTGCCTACTTTGTTTAAATTCTCTAATCTGCTGACTTATGCCCCAGTTTTTTCATATGAACACAGGCCTTAATTTGCACAATGATTTTGGATATCTTTCACATGCTTATTTGGCACCCACATATCCTCTTTAATGAGGATTCTATTCAAGTATTTTTTGACTTTCTTTTTTCTTTCTATTTTTTTCTTGTATTTTTTTTTTATTCTTGAATTAAGGAGTTTTGAAAATCCTTTTTTGGAATTTTAATACATAAAGATTTTCTAGAAATTTGAGTTTTTTATTTCTTTTCATGGTCTCTTCAATATAACAGGTTTTTAATTTTATTAAAGTCCAACTTACTATTTTTTTAAAAAATTATGGATAGTTCTTTAAGTGTCATGTCTAAGACCTTTTTACCTAACCACTATTTGTGCATGTTTTCTTTTATACTTCTTTGTTAAATTTTTACAGATATACATTTACAGTTAATTATTCATTTTGATACTTTTTATATCACCAAGTTTGTATTCTTCTCCTTTTTGTATATGAATGTTAAATTTTTCCAGTATTACATTTTCAAAAGGCAATTCTTTTTACCTTGGATGTTTTTAATACACAAAGGTAAGCCATCGACTTACGGAGGTCAGTTTCTGTGTACTCATTCTGGTCCATTTACATATCTGTCTACCTTTTGCCAATTCCATATTATTTTGATTCTCATACCTTTACAATAAGTCTTGAAACTGAGTTGAGTTCTATGAATCCTCTGAATGTTTCTGATTTTCTAAATTTGTTCTTGTTAGTGTAGTCTTGCATTCACATATAAATTTTAGAATACTTTCTTGAGAGCTAAACTTTTCTTTGTCTTAGACTATTTTGTGCTACTATAACAAAATCCCACATTTCTGACTGTATCCCATTATTAAGCAACACACTATTTCATCATATTTGAGTCCTCACTAGTCTTTTTTTTAAATACTAGCTGTGCATAATTAATCAAATTTCTGCAGGTTCCTTGTTCACCAGTACAATTTCTATGACAGAGATCAGGTTTTAGTTACTCTCTGTGTGTGGTAGTGAATGCCAGTAATCCCAGCACTCTGGGAAGCTGAGGCAAGAGGATCTCAGTTCTGAACCCGTCCTGGGAAATCTAGCAACTTAGCAAGATCTTGCCTCAAAAATAGGTAGATAGATAGATAGATGAGTAAATGACTGAGTATATAGCTCAGAGTGAAGGCCCTCTGTTCAATCCCTTATACAAAAATAGATAAATAGATAGATGATAGATAGATAGACGTATAGATAGATGGATGCATGGATAGAGAGATAAATGTATCCTCAGCAGGTTTGTTATTTGCAAAAGGTTAAATGTCAGTCCAGTACTCCTCTTCAGGACCTTCAGCTCACTTGCGTTGTTCCAAAGTCTTTGTGATGAATGTTGGTCTTTTAAGTGCCATATGATTGTATGGCATGTTTTTAAATTTGTCTGTTAGCCCTAGACCTAGCCTCCCTTCAGGACTTGACAAATATTTTGACAAGATACTTGTATATATTTGAGGCTCTTACAGTCTTCATTTTTACCTCTCTAACCTTTTATAATTCAGAAGAAACCTTTCTCCATTTTAAGAAATCAGTTCTTGCCTCTGTGCACAGAAGTGGTTTTTTTAGCCAGGCTAATTCAAATTGTCAAGTGTCTCTACATTGAGTGTCATTATGTAGAGCTTTATTTCTTGTCTTTTCAAAGGCATTGTGCTCCAGTAGACACGTTAGATGTTAAGTACTATGAGGTAGGAAGATGTCCTCCACTTTTAATATGTTTGTGGGTTGGATTTATGTCATGCAGTCCCAAGCAGCTTCATAAGTGAAGAAATGTAATGATTCCAGAACTGGCTTTGTGTCTAAGGCCTCACAAAATTTAAGTTTTGTTATTCTACCCTTAGAACCATCAAAAGGCTGTACTGGTATCTCTGTGTCCCCAAAATAACACTTGTTCAGTAATGACCCTTGCTCAGAATTTTCACATGCTTTAAGGGAAAAGGGAAGGGGAGAGCCTGTGTTGAATTTAGACATTCTCTCCTCTGAAATTTTAGTATCTCTAACCTTCATTGTTTCTGTACCTTTATAATATACCTAAAAGTATAATTTATTTTTAAGAATTTTCTAAGTTTCAGCAGAAGCATTGGTCTGCCATGAATTATTCCATGTAGTCCCCAAATAATTTTTTATTTGAGCCTCTATATATTTGTTTTCCACTGCTGCTATATATATGATAATAAATTTATCAGCCCAGATTGGTAACCTTATGTTTCTGTAGATTTACAGTCTGGCACAGGCCTCACTGCGCCAAAATTAGCATTGTCAGTAGGGTTGTGATCTTCTTATCCCTTTTTCCATTTATGAAGGCAGTAGCTCTGCATCTCCCTTACTCATGGTCCAGTCATCCTTGGGCTGAAAATTTCTCTGCTTTTAAAGAGCCCATGTATTAGGGGCTGGGGATTTAG